CTCTTGGGGTGTTGGTTGCTTCGTGGGTTGGGCTGGATTGGGCTGATTTGTAAACGGCGAGTTAGTTAGGTAGCATGAGCTAATGCGTCTAAATAAAATATAGGAACATTGCAGAGAGCTAACGTTATTCGTAAATATGACTGGTCAGGTTATTTTTACATGCGGTTCAGTGTTTGTTCACTGGGTTTAGGGCCGGGACGCCCAGGATGATGCACACAGGACGCTGACAGCATTCACTGAACGGTCCACTGGGGGTGGTGGTTAGCTATAGTTTAACGGGGGGGACATATATGAAGGGACCCAACTTTTCAAACATTTGATTATGTACTTTTGGGACTCTGGAGGGCCTATCAGCAGGCAAAGTGGGCAAAAAAAGATTGACTCAGTCCATGGTTTTTTGTCTGCTGAACCTTCATGTCAGGGACTGTTTCACAACCAACGGGGGTCAGTTAACACTGGGACTTGACTGCAAAGACTGTTCCTTGGGAAAGGGGAGGGGGGATTGCTACCAAACTGTCTGTGGGAGAGCACGGGCAGAGGAAGAACTGCTAAGTATTTTTAACAATTTATGCTTTGTTTATTCATTGTTCGTGTAACGCTAGCACATGCTAACAGTTGTTAGCTGCAGGAGCCTCATGGACCTAACGTATCGTTATTGGTTTGGTTAAATGTTTTGTTAAATGTTTGCCAAGGAATGGAACATGAAAACTTATAAGGTGAGTTAATTTATTAAGCCAGGCTGGTGTAGCATGTCTCCATATTCTTGCTGCATATTTTTTATCACAGAAGTTTATTCCGCTTGCAACTCACGGAGCTTTGTCTTTATGTTCGTCTTGTGTTTAGGTTAAAGTGCTCAGGCAGGTCAATATGTTTGTGTGCAATAAAGCTGTGATGAATCAAGGCCTGTGAACAGAAGAAGACACGTTACTACTGGGTGTGTTCTTGGTTGGTAAGATTGAGCTTTGATTACAGGCCAGCTCTGGTGATTTCACTGTTATATAGTTACTGGAGCTGGTCGGACCTTAATGTTGTAAATGAACTGGCGTCAAAGCAGACGACCACCCACCTTAGAGCCGAAGGCATCCTGTCCTAGGGTTTCTGGCCTTGTTAAAAGGCAGTTTTTCCTTGCCGCTGTCTCCAAGCGTCCTTGCTCATGGTTGGTACTGATTGGGGTCTCTGCTAAATGTTATAAGGAGTTCGCCCGTCTAGACCTGCTCTTAATTGAAAGGGGTGTTTCCGCAGATAACTTCTGTTATTGAATTGGTGCTATACAAATAAAATTGAATTGAACAGTGGGTTGATCGTTAAAACCTCGTTTAGAAGGATACAAAATACCGGGAGTGATCATTGGTGATTTTTTTTTCATGATGCTTCTTGGGTGTAACTTAGATAACGTGCTAACCAGCTGGCGGCTAGGGCTCGTTGTTTCCAGAGCCGTCACTGTTCGGTCGGGGTCCATGTGTGTTTACAGTGTGTTGTGTGTGTATACGGTGTGTGTGTGTTGTGCTTACTTGTGTGTGTGTGTTACAGTGTGTGTGTGTGCTATCTGGTTACTGTGTGTGTTATGGGTGTGTGTGTGTGTAGTTACTGTGTGGTGTGTGTTCTACAGTGTGTGTGTTGCTACGGTGTGGGTGTGTTACAGTGTGTGTGTGGTTGCTGTTACAGTGTCTGTGTGTTACGGGTGTTGTGTGTGGGTGTTATAGTGTGTGTGTGTTACAGTTTGTGGTGTGTTAACGGTGGTGTGTGTTTGTGTGGGTGTGCCTCCTGGGGTGTGTAAGAACCGTTAGATCACGTGCACCGGAGTTTAACGGATAGAGCTACTGTGAGGGGAGAGGAAAACAGTCAAACTGCAGGAGATTCATTTAGTTCAGTAATATGTGTTAATCAATTGATCACTAGACGATTGGGTGGAAGGTCAAACCGGACTAATAAAAGTTTACTGATCCATATATTTAGGTTTACTGCAGTACTGTATTACTGACGATATAAGCTGCCAGGTCAGTGTAACCATTTCTCATACTCATATCATCTCCTATTTGTATTTATAAACAACACTTGAGGCCTCACTGCCTAAATAATTAAACCGGGAACTTGTCACACATCAGTTTACAGTCAGGTAAATGTCCTGTGGGTGTGTATCTGCTGCATTAAGCTACACACCCCTTGTTGTTTGCTTAACCTCAGACTGCTTTCAACAACTCTCACTACAGCTTAGCTGCAACAAGGGGACCCACCAGAGACACTGCTTTATTATTGTTAGGTTTCATAACTGAGGACTACTTTTAGAGCCACAATGAGCTGTTGCACTTGCTACTGGTATTTTATATACTGTATTATATTATAATGTATTATATTCATACTGCTATTATATGCTGCCCTACAAGTAAACACTTGAATCTGCCATGTTTTACAGGTGGAGCTGGATTTGAAGCTCAGGGGCTGTTCCTGGACCCATCAGAGGACAAGAGACAGCTGCAAGCACAGGCACAGTTTGGGGGTATCCAAAGAAGACTCATCCAAGATGAACACTGACTGCACGAGCTCCAGTACCAGCTCCACACTTCAGGTTTACTAGAAACATAAAACCTCGATGGAGGACATGATCTTGCCACAGTTAAAAAAAACATTAAAGTTATAGCTTTGTCTTACTTGCAACAGGGTTGTAAAACTGGAATATGAATGAAAAACAGAAATAAAGCTGTTTTTAGTTTTAAGAAGGAGTTTTGGTCATTTTAAATTCAGCCAATAAGTGGTGGTTTACTATATAAATAACATGTTATTTCACAGAGGTTTTATGAAGACTTTCCTGGGGATGTACAAGCAGTTTGAAAACCAGGTCTTGAGTAACATCAATATGAAAATTGTGAAATTTAAACCTGCAGTAAATGACTGTAAGCAACACAATACATTTTACTGGGCTCTCACATTTCAAACTTTATTATGTTGGACAGCATAAATGACATCATAATATATAATATAAATGCATTAAATTGCTTAAATGATTCTTGAATGGGGTTTTAAAACATTTAATTGCCAGCTTTTACAAATATCTGAAATGTTTAACTTTTGGTAATAATACTTTCAAGTTAAAATATCAGACTAAGAAATATGGATACAGGTTACAGGTTTTAACAGTTGGTTACTCAGCAGTTTTTTCAACCACACAAACAAGTTACTTATTAGCATGGAGTAATTCCCTTCAGTTAGTGTTGACATGTTGTACGGATAAAGTATTCCAGGGCCAGGTTTCCTGCCTCATTGGTTAAGTTTCCATTGGGTCTCAGTAACTAATGTGTATAAAAGAATTATAACAGAACATGAGAGGCTTTACAGTAATCATTTCCCCAGTACTATTACTCTGATTACTTTTGGACACTTTACTGCGCTGTTTTCTCTCACTTAGAAACAACTGCCTTGACTAATGTTTGGTTAATAATAATGTAATAGTATAATATGTTTAACTTCACTGGGCTCTGTAGACTGTTAGGTCACTGCTGTACTGCTAAAGACACAGCATAAAAACACACTTGTTGGTTCTCATAGTTAACGGTATAAACACTAACATTATGGTGACTAGAGAGAGATTAATAGCCCGCTTAGCGTATTTACCTGAGGAACACGTCACAGAAATTTTCTGTAATCCTGATGCGTTGATGTTGTTATTTCTCTGGTGATTTCAGGTCAGGGACTCCCGCTCTAACATGTGCGGTGGTGAAGTTTTTTGGTTTAGACGGTTACTTGAATTTAATATTGACGGCTAGCAGCTAAACTCAGTAACAGGTGGAGGAGCCACCTGCCTAAAACACCGGCAACGCTTGGAGGCGGAAGATGGGGAGGCGCCAGAGCGTCATCCGCATCATAAATTTCTGACCAATTCCAGGACCAGACTGGGCTTTTCGTGGAAGGGGGGCCATTAAAGAGACAGGAGCTAAAACGATCGTTTTCAGACAGAGGCTGAAAAGGAGGTGCTCAGCTATAGGCAGTATGGGAGAAAAATATGGTGTTTGTTTTTTGAACATTAAAACATCTAAACCTATTGTTGTAGAGCCACAAAATACATTTATGAACCTGAAAAGGGGCATAATATGTCTCCTTTAATGTTACATAGAGAAGCTTTAATATTCAGAGATAGTTTGAGATTTGTTGCTACAAAAACTGTTGATGTGTCCTTTAATGGAGGCCTGACGCTGTCCTGGTATAAAACCATCATCCTGGACCTGAGGTGGGCAGGTCAGTCTGGTGGACCACAGGAGTCTCAGCGGGTCATTACAGCACATTAAGATCGACATTAGAGTCCGGAGTCTGTCCTCTAACCTGAAGGGGGTCAAAACGTCTTCATGGTGGTTTCTAGGGCACAACAGGAAGTGATGTAATGCTCTTATGGAGGGAAAACTGTGACATCAGGAGCGACAGGATTATATGGAGTCCAGGGAAGAAGAAGCATCTGCTGGGTTCATGTGCAGGTTCAGACCCCCACAGACCCCCATCACCTGACCTGGTAGCTGTTCTCCGATTGGACGAGGTTATTCTGCTCTGACCAATTGTTATTATTTAGATAAAAGATGTATATTACTGTTTAATTATTTCAGTTATTTTAATTATAGTTGAGTTAATTGTGCTGAGTTTATAAAGAGAGTTAATATTTATTATTGATTTATTGGTGACTTTATCGTCCACATATGTTGAATGTCTTCCAGCTTTAATTAAACAGTCTCTGTTCTCTATAATTACTACCAGACAGCATTGTGCTGTCCAGGAAACTTCACAGGAAATTATTAGACATTTATTAAGAAATTACAAGTAGTTGTTACTCAAA